AAAAAAAATATTTTAAAAAAGATAATATTCACCTATCTTCAGAGAAGAAAAGTGCAGGTTTTAAGTGCAAATAAACTGATATAACTATATGAATATAAATGTGTATATATATCATGTTCTTATTTTAAAGGTGCTTATGGGGAAACTGGTATCTAAATGTAATCATCCAAGAGGAAGGCAAAATGAAACATTCAGTTTAAGAAATTATGCAATTAACACTATGCCTCAAACAAATTCTTAAGAGTTTCCACAAAGGAAAACTCCAGGAAGAGAAAGAAGTCATCCTCTCCAATGGGTCAAAATAGAGCACATACATTCCTCTAATCTCTTCCAAACTCCTACAGCAGTGATCATAGAAACAAAACAATGGATTTATAATGTGACAAAGATTTAAATGTGGCTTTTATTTTAAAGTAATTTTCACATGTCTAAATCATTAACTTATTGCTAATCAGAAATCAGTTCTTCAAAGAAAAACTTCTGCTCAATTCATAGGTAAAAATGGAGTACTCAGACTAAAACTGAAAATAATCATAACTCCTGAAACTATAAAAGATAAAAACTTATTACACTCAAAAGACTTGGAAAACACTAACACCACCAATCAGTCCTAGCTTCTTTAAAGAGAAGATTAACAAATTTCCTACATGCTAGATAAAACTGGAGTCACAAACTTACATCATGGTTGCAGAGGGTTTTTGCAAGCTGCTTCCGCTCCTGGGCATAGTATGCTGCCTGCTGGTAATAGAAACCAGGATTCTGAGTTTGAATAGCTGTTAACCCTAACTTAATAGCTTCATCAAATAAATCTCCGAAGGCCTGGAATCTTAAAGAAAAAAATCAAGAAATTAAAATAGAATGAAAAGAAAAAGGAAAGAGAAAGAAGCTTACTTCTAGTAATTATTCATCCTGGAAACCACAACCTCAGCAGATTGTATTAAAATAATGCTATTAACAGTTAACTATTTGTTGTAATTTCTTTGTAAATACTAATACACACTAATTGTAGGTTACAGATAACTTCTGTACTTAACTCAGCTCTTCTGTGCTAACAAGTCTTTATAAATATACCATCAAACTAGATTTGATGAAAAGTTCTCACCACTCAAATACATCCAAGTTTCTGGGAACAATTTCATCTTAGCAATTTTTAAACATCAGGCACAAACAGTAAACTTTATGACAGCAGGAATTTCATTTTGTTCACTGCTATATTCTCAGGACAAACATATCATAGAAACCCAATAAATATATGTTGAATAAAAAAGATACCATAAATTAACTGATTTCCATTAAGGAATCATATGAATCAATATATACAAGGGGTCTTCAAAAAGATCATGAAAAGATTCATATTTTCTTTTAATTATTCTATTTTTCCATAGACTTTTTGAAGTACTATTACCAGAAACATACTTATGCTACACATACTAACATACTTAGTAACAAAAAAATTAGTTCAGTTTTAGAACCAAAATCTATGCCAATTCCATTTTTCCAAATCCCGTGTATGATTTAAAAAAAAAAAAATTCTAAAAGTATAATTTAAAACATACTGTTTAGACATCCATGCAGCAT